GGGGGCCTAGAGGAGCCGCTGGATGGGAGCGGAGACTCGAGATGAGGATGAGACGTGTGAGATCTCGGCCCTGCCCACGCTGCCACCTGTGGCCCAGCTGGAGAGCCTGAGCACCATCATCTACGCCGGCGTTGGTGTAACGAGGGTCGTAACGAGTGTCATAACGAGCGGCTTTAATGAGCCATTAACGAGGCCCCTTCTGCCACGGTCAGCTGTGGGTTCAAGCTGTACTCCACGCTGGAGTGGCCATCCGTTATATCAGCTAGAGACCACCCTGCAGATTGTGGGTCTCCTTTTAATGCTCACCTCTGCTCCCTTGCCTCTCCCAAAAACAAAGAGGCCCTCTTCCTGAATGTATGCTTGAGGACGGCCAACTTCCTCCCGGTCACCAGGATGCCTCGTATGCCTACCTAGACTCTTCGGTCATACTCAGCTGGTCATGTGACCTACGCTCCCTGGATGTGTATGGTCCACAGTGGCTCGATCCACTCAGCGACGTGTGTCGCTCACACTGCCCCCCTTCCAAACGATTCAGCCAATTAGGATAATGACATAACCTGACAATGACATGACGGCAACCTGAGCCAATCAAAGATGACCACTCATCTAACCATGCATTTACAGTGCTCTGGATGAGGTGGCACAGTGACACATGTTTCCATGGTTGTGGGTTCAGAGCCCAAACTCCTAATGTTTAAAGCCCAATGGGACCATCTGGCACCCCTCCTCAGCTCACTGGCTCTGGAAACCCGCTCACAAGACATCAAAAAGCACTGCTTCACTGGACGTCCCACCCGTAGCTGCACCATCATTCACGCAGCTCTAATGAAGTCCGCATTGAAAGATGCAAAATGCCCAGTGATAGATATTAAACATGACAGCATGGGCTCACACGGTCAGCACCATCCTCCAGACTGTTTAAGGGCCTGAAGTGTTTTCAAGGTGTAACTATCATATTTTGGACGGGTTTAGGGACAGTCTGCATGCTCCCCCAATCCAGGGAGGAGGGACGGGGGGGATCTGGTGTGTGTTGTAAGGACAACCCTAAGCCGTCATTCGTCTGCTATTGCCACATCCCTAAGGAACACCTACTTCCAGGTGCCGGGCTCAGCAACCAGGCATTATGGGTAGGATTTTAGTTATTCTTCTGGGACCACAGAGGACAGGATGACAAACAGACAGCCTGACCAATTAAAAAAAACATGACAAAATCAGAAAGTGTCTGCATGACAGTGGCCATGATTGCACCCCCCTTCCCAGGACCGCAGCAATGGGCACGCTCTCTTCTGCACGTGCCAAAAAGCCCCATAAAGGCCAGAGGCCCTGGAACGGTGGAACTTGGCAGAAACCCATGTTACAGGTGTCATAACGGCATCTCTGCATAGCCTCGCAGGAGTAACGGCAGTAAACAGCAGGAATCGGTCCCGGACCCCACGAGCTACGTCCCAAAAGTCAGCCTGCGGCAGCATCATGTTTACACCCTTTTCTGACATTGCGCAATTGACATTATTTTAAAGTGCCGCCCCTGCGATTATCTCTCGACATTTGTACTGTCGCACCCAAGGCCGTAGGGGACTTTTCTGTCGCTTTACCGCAGATGGTCGCTCGCGCGTGGCACCGCACAGACACCATCCCTTCTCCCTCCCTAAGTTATTCCTACAGGTGCGGCCGCTTTGTCCCATTCCCCGGTGCGCACCGCCTCGCCGCCCGCCGCGTCTCCTCTTTATTTGTGGTGGGGGACTGGAATATAATAATCCGATGGGGTTTTCCTTTCCCCCTCCCCCCCGGGCAGGACACGTCGGCGTCTCACTGTATGCGGATTTACGGGCTTAATTCGGGTTAAATGCGGGGCGACCGGTACGCCTATGAAGGGATCGGAATCACCACGGTGCAATTAATACAGTGTCCAATTTAGAAAAGCGGGGGAGGGGTGGCGGGGGAGCTGAATCAAATATAATTTCGCCTACATACCAGAGCCTAAACATCAGCATCGGCAGCCGTGGCGACAGGATTCACCCCGCTGCAAAGTCACACGCAACTGTGCCATTTCTTTGTGCGGTTATAAATAGCATATTTTGGTGACAGCTGGTTGTGCACAATCCCCGCTCATTACAATACAAACCAACTGCGGTGCACGGAAAACGGGGCAAAAACGCAAGTCAACCCCCCCCCCCAATACCCCAGGAGGATGCGCTCCGAGGTAGGAGAACCAGCAAACGACACTGCGAGTGCTTCTTTTTTTTCTTCCAGAAGCGTTAGTTTTATTACCTCCAACGTGCGTATCTCCTGCTGGGTGAGGTCGTTGGACACCGCGCACTTCGTCCGCAGACCCCGCAGGCTGGAGATGGAGATCTCGATCATGTTCTGGATGAGCTCGCATTGGTGCAGCGCGGCCATCGCCGCGTCGCCGCCCGGTGCCCTTTCCGAGTGCTCATCCCTTTCTACCATCTTGCCACCTTTGCCAGGCGCACTATCCATTCCTCAGCATCGGGCAGCGCTTCTCGGGGGGCTGATGCGACCTGACAGCGTTAAAGCGCACCCATGCAGCGAATATGCGACAGCGCTATACCGAACGCCGAAGGAAAGCGAATGACATCGCAAAAGGATTAGAACAGCAAATATGCAGCTGTGCGGTGGGAGCGCCGGTTACGGGGTGCCCCTAAGAACTGCCCCGCATATCTGACAGCATCGCTGGGCTGCGTTCAGTGCGCGATGCACTGCCGAAACTCCCTGTTTCTGCCACTGGCCGCTTGCGCGTGGACTCCGGCTGTCCGTCACCACGAGACACGCCCCATCGGCGCAATGCAGTCTGGGTACTGAAGTTTTCGCCCCGCTGACTAAACCGGTCCCATATAGTACGACGTTAACATTTATTTATTTAACAGACGCTTTTAGCCAAATCGAAGAAGCAGAGTCAGACAGTCCCTGTAGTAGTTGGGGTTAAGGACCTTCCTCGAGAGCCCAACGGCGAAATCACTCTGTCCACCAGTACCGGCGCACAAAAACGAGTGCGTGATGTTCATTTATGTAGGCTATGCTTTGTTCTGAAAGTTAAATAGTGCATTTGATATGTATAATATGGAAAAAAAACACTGCGCTGAAACAAAAACTATAATAGAATAAAGAATGGAATAAAAGTATAATAAACCAAGAGGTTTTCAACCTTTCATTAAAATAGACCAGAGGTAGCGTCTCTTCCACCAAAGCCTGCTTTTATAAATATCTTTCATAAAGAATTTTCGGCTACCCCTTGAATAATTTCGCTTTGGGGTGGTGCCAGGGGGGTGCAGAGTACAGGCATACATCCCGTGTTAGATTCAGAAGGTCAGTACTTAACAGGGGCCCTTGAATACGTAAAATTATACAGAAAATTGGGCTGGTGGCCCCCACGGTACATTTTGGCAGGGGGGCCTTAATTTTTAGCTACTCCTCTGCGTGCCAGTGATTAATAACAGGCATTAAGTATCACGCATTAGAGCACCGATAATGCAATATGTCGAGACCCTGAAACTGCTCCCAGGACCCCAAGGGGATTATGGACAGAAAATCCTCGGACGGATCAACTGACTCAGCCTTGTTTTCTGTCGCGTTGCAAAAGTTTAATATAGTTCTCCGAAAACTACGTTTTTCATTTAGATTTTTTTCCCTGAACTTTGTAACAGCTCCCGATATAGCCTAATCAGTGGCGTTCGTACTGATCAAGTGTCAATGCGCGTTTTCCATGTTCACCGATGCTGAAACTGGTCATTTTTCACCATGACCGCAACGTCGCTGTGCATCAGTATCAGTCTGGGAAACAAAGCGCCCCTCTTTACTGATCCCACCGAGTCTTTAGCGAGTCTTGAACCCAACCTCCCTGATCAAAACTGGATGCTGTGACAAAAGGCCTCATTCCCAGTGCTGATCTAGATCTGTTAAAGAGAGAGCGTAACGCAATTCTGTCAAATAACTGCCCCATATTCACATGCATCTCCCCGCCCCCATGGTAGCCCCTCTCCGTCAGACTTCTGGTCACAGGACTTCACTTCCCGGCATACACTGCGCCTCCATGATCTCGGGATTCCTCTCCGCTCCCAGGTAAGCAGATAGGACAGGTGGACTCTTTGCGCTGTGCATATGATGATTCCTTGCACTAATTTTGGGATATCAAACACATTTCAGTCGATATTGCCAAACCCATACTAATGATTTACATGACTCTATGAAGAAGATCCCTGTCCCGACAATGGCAGTAGAAGGATTTCAGGGAAAGGTATATTTGCATTCGTATCATGCGGTTTAAGTATCGGGACATTTCGCAGACAGTGTGTGTATGCAGGGTTTGGAGTCGGTGCGGTGCCGTCTGCTTACATGAGCGTCACCTACCTACAGCTGCTCAGACTGGGAAGGGGAATTAGGGTGAAGCGAGCTGCTGCCCCCTCACAATCCTGACCTCTGCGCTTGGTCAGCGAGGCTTCCGTCAAATTCATGTTGGCGGTGGTATTACTCCAAGAAGACCATAACATACCGGGTGGCACGCGGCGCTCTGGGTGCCACCGCCATCTAGCGGGGGGAGCGGAAAATTGCAAAGCAGACTTTCACCCAGAAAAGGCGTCAATATTGTGTAAATAGTATGATAGACTGTTATGTAATGTTAAATCAAATGTATGTTTTCTTTCACCACCACACCATACTTAAGGTGCTGTTAAGATGAATTCTGATTTCAATGACCAGTTTGCGTCAGAAAGTAAACCATTTTCAACACCCTAAAATTCATATACACAAAATCATTTGTAATAATTCAAATCAGCCGTACTTAATGACATCTTATTTAATTAAACAAGTCTGCTGCCACTTTTGTCGGTGTCAGGGTTACTCACCAGCTCCTCCTGGAGGCCAGCAGTGGAACCTCCAGACACAGATCACACAGACAAATGCCGTATTTCATTTGATCCAGTTCGGGATACATAACTATGACTCCCATCTGTACCTCTCTCCATTTTCACAGTAGCAGACCAGTGTTGGGGGGGGGGGGGGTGATTTCCTTTGCTCTTTCTCTGCTCAGATGTTGAGCACTGTTACTATTGTTAACTTGAAATTTAATGAGCACTTCAGGGCTGCGCAGGAAGGGGGCGCTATATCAAAGTCAGGTGAATTGAACTGAATGGTGTCAGAACGGTGGCACATCAGCCCTCTCACTAGTCAATATCACTGTGTATATCATCTCCGGGGCGCCTACACATGTATTTTGCGGTCTGTGAGAATAGAGATGGTGGGGGGGATGGGTGCATCTTCGCAGACAACATTGGGAAGGAGGCGGATCATAAAGCTTCTGATCGACAAATTATAATATCCATAGGGGCAGTGTGTGGCTCAGAGGAGGTTCTGTCTGTGATCAGAAGGTTGTCAGTTCGAATCCCAGGGTCAGCGGAGCGAGGTCACCATTGGTCCTGCTGTCTGAAAAACACAGGGTGTTTTGGATAAAAGTGTCTAACTTGTGCCTACATGAAAATTCCTTAAATTATAAATGAACTGAACCATCCTGCTTTCAAATCATCTGGATAAATTCACTTGTCATTTTGGTAGTTATGCATTTCCTCAGAATACCCCTTGGTTAAGAAAAAAAAGTAAATATTAATTATAAAATTTAAATAATAATGAAATCTAAACCGAAGGGACCGTCGCATAGTTTCCAGTCAGTCAGATCAATGCATGCATTCTGCTGGTAATAACCAGCCGACCGGCCACTTGTGTCCTTGGAGAGCGTGATGTAAGTATGTTTGCATCGCAGGGCTCACATGCGCTGCTCCATACGCTCTGGACTTCGGACCAGACCCTCACGCTGACTAATGAGCTGCTTCCAGATGGAGGCCTGCATTCCTGTTCAGTCTCCTGCTGTGACCCTTTGAGGGTGTAATTTAAGCCTTTGACCAGCGAGGGGCGACATCAGCGCTCGAAATAAAGCCTAAATAAGGGAGGCGGCGGTGGAAACGCACAACTCATTACGCTAGCTGCCTGCTCTGTCGACATCACACTTAATTGATTAATTATTAATGACGTCATTACAGAATTCAATTAGGTGTCTATGGGCTTCAAGGAAATCCACATGGATTTGAGGAGAATCCGGAAACACCACACAAGCTGTTTCCAACCTTGTTTTACAGTGCGGAATACTTTACCACCATATCACACAAAAAGCAATTTTAATAAATGGTTTAGTCATTTAGATCAAAAAGCTGTGCTTCTTGGGAATCCGAGTGAGTTCAGGGTGCAGGTATTCCATATTGTTAGCTCTTTGCCTACCGTTGTCTTGTGCACAGTCATACAGCCCAATGGGCTGAGATGAATAAATGTAGAACCCCCCCCCCCACCCCCAGCCCAGCAGTGAGGTGGAGCTCTCCAGCCAATGAGCTTGGAGTGCTCTCAGACAGACTCTGGTCACTCCATGGGACCCCACAGCGAGACAAAGCTGGGACTTTCTGTGCAAGAACAAAGGCATCCCTCCCCGTTTTCAACGCCGGTGCACAATGGACTGGTGTGTCACGCAAACGACCATGGGGGGGGGGGGGGGGGGGGGGGGGGGGGGGGGGGCAGAGAGAGACGGCTGAGGGCGCTGAAGCCTGACAAACGATGACCCGGGGAACGGCACAAAGAGGAAGACGACGAGCGACACCGGGTCAGGCAGGCCCCACCCCCTCAGCTCCCAGAATCCTCTGCTCTGGAAGGCTGGCCCCCACAGGAAGAGCAGACGCTGGTACACGCCACGCACACACCAACACCCTGAGGACCACGTAGGGAACCTCTCATCGTTAATGTTTCAAAAATTTTAATTATTGGATGTTTTCCCCATCGGTGTGATTTCAATGACAAACAGGTAAAGCCTCAGACAATCCCGCAGTGACAGCCAAGATTAGGCATCGAGCAGCGAAGACTCATGCTGTATGAGTGCTGGAGATTTTAAATGGCCCTTTAAAGGGGCTATAATGTGCCACCTGCAAGACAGATCTAACAGACGTATTGCTGAATTGCTGTTTTACTGGTTAAAATGCTACTTAGCTACACGGCCACTACCTGAAAACAAGTGTATTCTCAAAACAGGCCACCAGTCATTTTAAACAGCCTCACTGCATAACTATCCTTAAAGAAAAGCGTTTTGCCAGCAATGACACAACAGCCTTGCAGGAGGCGCACAACTGAGCAGCCAGAAATGATACCCATGTCCATGTTTTACATTTTCTTTTATTTAGACAACCCAAATAAAAGGCACATAAAACATTTCTCATGTTTACATTATTATTTTTGACAAACATACATTTAAAAAATGTAGGAATGTTGTACCTTTCTGCTATTCAGAAAGCCTAATGTTCATATATACAAAAATTACCATTGTTAATGTTCTAATACAAAAGATTTATAAAAGGTTATTTTAGTTTTTCTTCCACATCTATTACAACTACCACATCCTCAGGACTAAATGTTTTTGTACATCGATATACATTCAACTGCCTTCACAGGGGTCCCGAGCCTGCTGGTCTGTCCACAGCTGTGGTGGCGCACTAGCGCCCCCTTCAGCCTGCCAATTCATCTCACATGCTCCGCCTTCGCACTCTGATTTTTTTTTTAGACAGGATGAACAAATGTGGCAACAGTTCCGTAAAGTCTGTCCGTAAAACAAAATCAATGACACGTTAGAACAATACTCATCAAGCAATTCTCTTCAAAATTTAAAAACTGGGTTTAAAAAAGTTGACTACATGCATATTTTCATCTTTTTTTTTTTCCTTTAAGTAATATGCAATGCCCCATACACAAAAAAAAAAAAAGCAGTCAATAAACCCGCAGTTGTCATGGCGATGTCAAAAATGGACACAGCTGGAAGCCCAGCCCCAGACTGCCGGAATAGCTTGCTGGGCGAGCAGGACCTGAACAAGGACGCGTGTGTGTGTGTGAGATCTGACTCCTTCCTGGCAGTTGATATCCCCGATATCGGAGGCAGTTCGACCCCCCTACCCAACCCAAAATCCCAGGCTGTAGCTTTTAGTGTTCTCTCTACAGAGTATAAATCAACCCCATTCCCCCCCCCCT